TCAAGCTTCCTATAGTCTGTGACTCGGAGAAGCCATTTAGATACACATTAAGGGGTCTGGGGGCATAGCTCAGTAATATAGCACTTGCCTAGCATGTGCAGGGCCCCAGGTTCAATTCCCAGCACTCCCCCTCACACAAGTAACATAGCAAAGATGTCAGATCCCCATACTCTGGAAGCAAACTGCTTAGGTTCACATCTTGGTATGACCATATACTAGAAGTCCTGGTATAAGTCTCAACCTCTTGGGGCCTCCCTGTCCTTCATGTGTGCAATGGAAATGACAATGCTTGCCTCTTATGATTATTGTAAGGCTTAAATAAGTTAATATGTGTTATGGTTTGCGGAACAGAACCTGATATACTAAGTATTCTATAAATGTATCATGTAAGTCAATAAAATCCAAAGAAACTATCAATAGTAACTCTTGTCATAAAGCTGAATCTTGACCTGAAGACCCTTATAGCCAGAACACTAGACAGGCTTATTCTTTTTGAGAGCATAAAGCTATTTCTTTTGTTCAAAGGGGAAGGGAGAAATATAGAGATTCCCTTTTTCTATTCTTTCATCATGTGAGTTTGAGAAATAACTATTAAATCTGTACATCTGAAAAATGTGACTTTTGTAAAAGACAGTCTTAAACCTCCCATGCCTGTTATTACCCCAGTCCCAAGGATTCTGGAAGTCTCTGGCATCTGAGCCCAACAGACCCTTCTACGTAAAAGAAAAAATATCAGATGTTAATCATGAGCTATGCCCCAAAGTTACAATCAAATATAGCATTTTAAGTGGCATGTTATATCATGGAGGGTAAAAGGAAGACCCTGCAGTGTAGTGACCCTTTTGTATCAGTCCCTCTGTGGTATGATCTACTATTTAGTCTTTGGTCCTCCAGAGTCAAATCTGCTTCAGTAAATACATTCTGGGGGACTCAATGGAAGAAATTGATCTGGATGGTTACAGGGAATAGAATGTGACTGAACTTCAATTTCTATTCAAAATAAAGTCCCAGAACAAAGTATTACTTGGTTCATTGTTAAATTTGCTTATAACGCTGCTATATTTGCATATGAGAGTATGGAGAGACAACTGGGAACTTGTCCATGAACACTCAGAGTTGTGTCGCATATCACTGTGTGACAGCAAGAGCTACCACTGGATCAAGCAGACCTTGGACTTCGGACAGAAACAGTATGTGTGAATTGAAATTGCATTACCTTATGCCCTTGGTTGGCTCTTTCTTCCCTGTGGAGGTTGGCACACCACTGGCTTTTTTACCAACCTAGTAAGAAGCAATGTAGGTTGGTACAAGGTTAGGTTTCAGAAGAGAGGCGGTCATTTGGCTTGTACACTGAGGGATAGAGATGATCTTGGAGAGTCAGAAGGTAGAGCTGATCTTTGACACTTGGTGTCCACCATCCTGAGCTTGGGGGGTCAGTGAGGGTGGGGCCCCAAGGCCTCAAATGCTGGTATTACTGACACTCTCTGAGGCTTTGCAGGCTATTCCTGTTCCTTTAGGTCTCATGACTATTTTAAAAACCTTCCCTTTATAGGAGGGCCTCATCACACACTAGGGTTTTGCTTCCCAGGTTCTGAATTCCCTTCACGTGAACTAGTGCATGGTGGTCTGATTAGTGGTTGTGAGACGAAAGACATTCTTCTGTAACTGTGGTATTTTATATACACTTACATGTCCCAGTTTACTTATAACTTCTTGATCTTTCTTTTCAGTTCTGGTATTATTTAGTGTTCCCATAGCAAGTTATAGCCAAGTTTCTTGTGATCATTTTAAGTAGTCACACAACAAATCACGTGCAGAGCATGAGCCAGTACTTAGCCAAAGAATGAAATGGGGAAACTCTGCCAAACCCAGATTCATAATCTTCTTTAGTAAAGTTCTACTGTGTCATTTCATTTGGTTTCTCATTTTAGAACTTGAGCCTCCATCAGACCTACTGCATAAATTATCTGACTTGCAGTTGAACTAAGAAAGGAGTGCAGTGTTTTCTAGAGTTATTTTTCAAAAGGGAATGGGGAAGGACTTCTTGGATAAATGTTTCTTGAATATAACTATCGTGAGCTTAATTTTTTTTCCCATTTCCTAAAGGCCCATCTCACTTTGGGATTTTTTTGAGTTTTGTAGAACAGATTCTGTATCGTAAAACAGAAACTCTTACCTGCCTTGCCACCTAGTAGAAATGTACGCCAAAATAATTCCAGGCACATAATCGGTGCTCAATAACTGTTTATTGACGCTTTAGCTTTTGATGTTTCTTCTTACTAAGGCAGTGTCTTTTCTGAAGCATAATATTCAGCAATACCAAGTGCTGCTCTGTGATGTTTTTCATAGTCATTTACATAACTCTTTACCTTTCTAAAATCCAGCCCTTTAACAGTCTCACCAATGTGAGACTCAACTAAAATAAACCATGCCTAAGGATAGAGTTGCCTATCTTCTGCTCATGAAGGCAGGGAAATGTGATGCATCTGGGAAATCTTTTTGTCACACATGTTTGATGAGGTGCCGTACTGGAATTAAATGTAGCGGGGTGACTGTCAGCGAGTTGCTTAATCTCTTTGGCTTCAGTTTTCTTATCTCTTAAATGTGAGAGCAGCAGCACTCAGTGATCTCTAAGACTGCTTTCAGCTCTGAAGACTTGTATGATCCTGCGATTCTCAGGCCCCTTTCCTTCTTGAGGCCTGTTTGCTCATCTGGAAAATGAGAAGTGGATGAGTATCAGAGTCTTAACAATCTGTGACTTTAAAGGAATGAACTTTTAGCTATCCAGAAAATCTAGTTATCCAGAGGGCCATTCCTCGAGGGTATTGGTTAGCCAAGATTTTACTGTACATTAATATGTAGTTAAAGGGACTAATTTAATGCCTAGAAAAACATTTGGGACTGGTTAAAACTGTGGAAAAATCCCAATTCTTTGCAGGGAATATTGACTCTAGTGTATACCATCTTGTCGCGTGTTTTCCCCTTGTGAGCTAGAGTTCTGTTTAGGGTAAGAGAGAGGGAGGGCTGTGTGCGCACCAGATAGGAGCCTGACAATGTTATGTTTTTCTCTTGATAGTACTAATCCCCTGTTCCGATTCCCGAGGACATTGCTGATAAGTGGTACCCAAAGCAACACACCAGAATGGGTGAAATCAGTTGCTGTCTACTCCACATCCCAGCATCTATTCCCTGAGGTGGTATTTGCTTCTGAAAGTCTGTGTACAGAGCCGGTTGATACTGATAGGGATGAATGCACTAATCCTCTGAGACAGACTCCACAAGAGGAGAGCGGGTCGGAGAAAGTAAGACAGGAACGTTGAGTTAGCTGCCATCATGTGATCCCTGGTCAGGAGCCTTTCTAAGCATTGATGGCAATGATTGACAGGAATGCCCACAACAGTTTCCTACCTGATGGAATGAGAAGGATGAAACTAAGACCTATTTCTCTGCAGAGGATGGCCCAGTCCAACTTCAGTACTGCGTTCACCCTTACAGTTTCCCTCCTTCACAAATTTTAGTAGCCCCGTGTGTGCTGCCATGTAGCATCACAGTTTCTGCTTGATATGTTCCTCTACATTTTGGCCATGCACACACTCCTGTGACATTATTTCCCCAAGTTCCTCAACCCCACATTAAAATGCCCCAGTACATCGTTGCACAGCTTTTGTTCATTTCTTTGTTGCTACCCGGGATGATCTCCATTTACTTCTCCACTTAAGTCCAGTCCCATCCTCAAAATTTAACAGATGTCTCACCTCGCCCATCAAGTGTTTCCCGAGTTCTCCATGCTCTGCTGTTCCCCAAACTCTGAAGGCCTTCACATACCCCCACATTTCAAGTTACTCATATTCTGCCCTGTAGAATACATTCATTTTGCCTTCTACACAGTGTTGGCCTAAGACACAGCACACACAAGTCCCCTTTTAAACCTTGGCTGGGAGTCAGGTTTCAAGGGCAGTTTTGTAGTCAGCATGTTCGATAAGGAGAGGTGCCTGTGTTCCAGTCGGGCAAAGACAAGTCCAGTGATCATAGGGGCCAGGGCAGGCCATGTGTAGTAGGCAGGTGAAACTGGCCTCGTTGCAAGATCTCATGGCGGACCCAGGAAGCTTATTTGTATTGTTTGTGGGTTTTTTTTTTTTTT